AAAGAAGCTGTTGATCAGGCGGTTTTTCTTTCTGTTTTAAAAATGATGAAATGATGTGACAGGCTGCAATTTTATCCTGATCCTTCGCTTACAAAAGCTCCGATACTTTCCTACAATCCGCACCTAAGTTTGGCAGGAATCGAAGACGGGCTGATTAAACACTCGCATCCAGTTTCTCTGTGGTTCCTCCTCACTCGATTTCTCGCCTCATTCTTCGTGGTCGTGGATGCAACCATGTTGCATCGGTACAGCCGATTTCCAACTTCTCCATCTGCATGTAGACGACACTACAAGTGGCAGCTTTTCCTCCAAGAGTGTGGGATTTCGGTACACTCCTCCCTTCGGTTCAATTTGTGTGGAGCTGGCCGAGGGTCACTTTCACTTACCACTTCCTATTTTTTAAACCTTCACGGTGGTCACGGTGCCCATACCATACCAAATGAAGCATTTAACACATCTCGACGCCCACATATTCCGTTTTACTTGTAAAAAGTTACTTGTAATTTAATATAAAATTAAGTATTTGGCACTTCGTGTATAGATAACTCGACTTCGTTGGCATAGAAGGAAGAAAGGAAAGGGGAAGCGCTTGTGAATCGTGAGATGACCAGAGTGGACCACTTCAAAAGCGCACATTTCATTTAAACCTAGTGGAAATCTTTGAACTTCTGAGAAAATATTTTTAGCTGCATAGACATCTTCTCAGGGGAAACTCATTGCGACGCCAGGAATGTTTTTCTCGACACACTCTTGCCTACTTCACTGATGGATGAACAAAGGATTTAGGTTTAGTCTGTGCGGTTGATTGGAGATAAAAGAGGAATCCCGGCTAATTATGGCTGAGTTTGTGAAGAGGGTGTCAGGAGGAGGGATAAGTAAATGGTGTCGGCGTCGACTGCCAGTGACCTTTCGGTTGACCCTCTCGTCTGTTCAGAGTGGATGAACGAACTGAACAGTGAAGAGAAGAAGAAGGAGAAGGCGTAGTGCAACTCCAAAGGGAGGCAAGTCAGAGGAAGAAACAAAATTGATAGGTTGTCAGCCCTTAGGCAAGTACTGGGAAAAAAAGGGTAGGTTTAGATGGAATGGCGTTACAAATGAGTAAAGAATTGGCTCTCAGGCAAATGTTTGTTGTTCTCTTTTTATGGAGTGAGACAAAGTGAGAACGCGGTGCTGTTTCTGCACCCAACTAGGTGTAACTCCAAATTCCTTGCGGCAATGTACATTTTACTGTAAATGAAGACATCATAAATCTGAGATAAGTCAAAACACCGAGCACAGACATCTACGCGCACATCTGATTCACACAAGAAGGCCGGTTCCTCCAGTTCCTGCAACTTAAACACCGACAATATCAAACATTTTACCACTTACTCTCCGAAATATGATGCGTTTCCACCGATTTTACATAAGCAGTTGGCCACTCGTCAGCTCCAACGAGACGCGAAGGGCTGTCGTACCTCCAACAGGTGCGCCAGCTGCTCCGAGAGACCTACCAGCAGGGGGATGTCAATCCACTTTTGCAAGACATGACAAGACGATATAATCTCCACCACTGAATAACAGACCCCAATTTAACGAATAATTAACGACGCCTCGTTTACCCGAAACCATCGAAGCTGCCTTGAGGGAAGGAACACAAAAATAACACAAATTTTTGTTGAGAAAATGTTTAGTAGTCAGAAGTTTGTTTGCGTAAAATTGGATCTGATTTAGAGACCAGGCTCTCTGATGAACCCAAAGTGGCGCAGTGTCTCTTCAGTTTGATGTAAGGCACTAAAATTAGAAAACGATGAATTTAGAAATTCACAACGGCTTTTTAGGCATCAGCATCTCCACTTTGACCCCCAACTGTGACTAAATAACTCTAAGAGCACAAAACGGCTCAACCGGGAAGTCACTGCAGGTTTCTGTTCGCTACATGGGTCTGTGTTTCATGCGTCTGCTTTCAGAGCCACACATATGCGCCAATCAGAAAGACCTCCATTTCAATTACCAATATTCCCTCGCTCATGTTAGAAGCAACTTCATGAAGTCTGCAACTATACTGCATATATGTGACGCTCCCACTTGTGTCCTCTGCCTGTATATAGCAACTGTTGCTGCATCAACAGGATGGCTGAGGATTGGAGGTGCGATGTCCTTGATCGAATCAACAGGTCATCACCTAGTAAGTGGTGGTCGGGAACCTAGCAGCTTAAGTGCTAGCAAACCACCGAATGAGCATTTGAACATCCGAGGAGTGAACCATGATATCGGTGTGGTTTTCAGACACGACTAGACCCAAACAACGCTACTGAATAAATGCAGAACTGGATACCCAAAGGGAGAAACAGCACCATGGAATCAGTTGTGTCCGAAGGAAGTGAATATCGTGAAACGGCAAAGTGAAAGTCACATACCTGCCATCACGGAGAACACGGTAGTGCAACCTCTGACCCCGTGACCTAACTGCAGGAGACAAATCAACAACTGTGGAACCGGCACGAGAAATCACCGATTCATCGCCACTACCGTCACCGCCAATTCGGCCACCATCCACCACGAGGTCCAGCTGGGGCCACAGATCAGAAAACTCCTGTGAACCAAAGGAAAAATCGTCGTGTCGACGGGACCAGAAAGTTAAATCACTCATACGTACTGGATGGGATGGAGAAGTGCTTCAAAGTGTCCGAGATTAGGAAATACAGATTTCGAAACCCATAACTTCTTAGTTGTAAAGGAAAAAATTTACAGTTAAACAATAAAGTCAGAAGAACGTGTAGAGAAGGCAGCACTCACATCAGGAGAGAGAGTGGATTTTTGACCACTGACATTAGCTGAGGTGAGGACAAGAGGAATAGCAGCCGCCGAGAAACATTGGGGCCTAACATGAAGATCCTCACTGGTCACCCCCTCGCTATAAAGAACCACTGCCAAGACTTCTGACAGGCGACAGACAAGAGAACTATCCGGCACTCTAATACCGATCTCCATGACACAAGGATTGAGCAGAGGGTTCAAGGGATCATCTGCCAACCTTGGAAGCAGAATAGTAACTGGACCGGGGAGAAGAGAGGAAAGGAGGTTACTTTCGATGCCTTCAGTGTTGCTCCACTGAGGCAGGCTGATTGCCTTGGTGATTAGAAATGATGAGATGTAGTGAAGGGTAGTGGTACCTTGTCGAGACAAATCGCCATGGGCTTAGCGGCATCGCGACCTTTGATTTGGTAGATGCGGTCTATCCCGCGGGTGGAAAGGCTGCAACATGCAAGACCATAAATTGTATCGGTCGGTACAGCAATCACGCCACCGGATAGAAGAATCCGGGCAATTTCGGGAAAGAATGTGATTTGCTAAAAAAAATTCGTTTAGTTCATTTATTTTGGTTGAAAAGTTCAGAAAAGAAACATCGTATGACAAACCTTCTGCCAACGTAATAACCTTAGGCAAGCGTGCTAAGCCACCCATCACATAAGGCT